AAAATAAAACATGAATACACCGCATCACAAATTAAATTACTTCCCTATTCCACAAGCGTCTGAGCAAAACCATGGCGTTCTTTTATCATTTACATATGTACCCAGAGTTGGCGACAATTACTGGAAAGGTCGTGAACACTTCACCCAATATGTTAGTATGAGAAAGGGTGGGTAAAATCCTGCCGAATGCAAATGACGTGCGTTTCAGTATGTACCATTATATAACCAACGAAAATAGCGACTGGCATAGAGCAGAACAAATACAAAACAATTGTGACGCATTTTTTTTACATCGTTGTAGGAGAATAAATGCTATTTTCAATGAAAACGAACTCTTGATCGAGACTCGTCATCCTGCAAGATTGCTACACCGCAGTGATTTACAAAAATGTTCATTCGCTGATGAGTCGTTCAAAATGTTATTAACATTCAACATACCGATATTAACACCTATTAACAACTACCGTTGTTATTTGCAGAAAAAGAGGGATTACGTCCTACACTGATGTATATTGGAGTGATAACACAGTTCACTATTGGTTTGATGAGAATTATGATGGTAACAGAATATGTATACTTTTGTTTGGAGCATTGCGCCGTTTTTGTTGAAAAGAATTTACAAAAATTAATATTCTACTTGAATTTTACTTCAATATACAGATGCAGAGAATTATAGATGCATTACAGGAGTTGCAAGATGACACATGTTTAATTTTCATCGAAGGAATTAGTTCCCATTATATTAAGATCATAGATGGTGGTGGGTAAGTAAAACTGGAGCTGATCGATTTATTGGCACTGAATCTGAACGCAATGTCGCAGACTTTACATTACATAATTATAAATCTATTTACGTGGTCAATGAATAATTCATATATGCATAGTAAATCAACTTAACAATGTGTAAGCTGTAAATCGATAAACATTTACTTGTCTAAACGTAATGTTCAATTGGAAGCGTACTGTTTAAATTCAAAACACATAAACTGTATATTAAAATACACCAATATGTTACATATAAGTTATTGACATGTTTGTTGATGTTTAGACTTTATCAAGGTAGAGATGCAGGTCCGTGGGCACTTGGGAGTGAATTCTTTTTTCTTTTTATTATCCAAACAGTCTTGGCTATAGACTGTTAAAATTCTGTAGAATTGTGAATAGTGGAACATATTCAAAACACGATTTTAAAATATAGATAACAGGTGCAAGCATTCTCTCTTTTGAATGCTCAGCAAGATTTAGCAAGGCTGTATATAAATAATAAAAAAGAAACATGGTGAAAAAAATAAATGACGGGATCTCCATATTATGCAATATATTTAACGTTTAACAAAACGATAATACATTTAAATGTTGAACTGTTACAGCCATTTTAATTTCGAGCGTTAGCAAACTTGCGAAATAGCAATTATCTCAGTTTCTTTTAGTGCACATCCCAGAACTTTAAAAAAAATAGCTTCTCGACGCTATGACCTTTTGTTTTGAAATTTTCTCAAATGACTGACAATGTGTTTATCTTCAAGATGCCGTCGGGCCATTGTTTTTTGGTTGAACAATGTTACAAAAATCGTACAGACAACTAGCCTGGGTGTTAACTTATGCATAAACTTGAATAGTGAAATTTGAGCTGCTGCTCACACAATTGACAACTGTAGACAGTTTTCAAGACGGCACTTTCTTCATAGTAAACAAATGTACCCATAAACCAATTTTGACAGGAAACAGAAGCATGGTTTAGATGGTATTTTTTTAAAATCACTTTTGATCAAAAAAGCACATTTTTGTTCACATTTCAAACTATAGTGTCCATAAAAAATGACAAAATTTTAAAATTACAATAAGCTTTCCGAAAATATATAGTTTTGTGGACAAGGGAGGTCATCTTGGTTTCCTAATTAACTAATTAAAATACCTGTCAGGTAAACAGCATCTCTACCTTAAGTGCAGTACAATTTCAGCATCATGTTTTTGAAAAAAAATATATTATATGTTTTCAAGAGTGTAAACATTACAGTGATATTATGTAGTGTATAAAACAAAGATCAATTTGTGTTTAGAGCATGTATTTGGTTGAGACACTACATAATGTCAAGGTGATGAGTACAGCTGGTATGTTCATTTCTGAATCGTTCATGATGAGTTATTAAACAAATATCGGAACATTATGCGTACTTTGAATTGAATTTATTTATTTCCGCAAAAATACCTGATGGGTAAATAATTAAAGTTGCAAAGAGTCTGAAATAAACTATTTTTGATGATAATCACGAGAAGACGAGAAGATTGAGTCTGGCGGATTTATTAGCGTCTAAAGAGTTGATTATTTGAAATGTTTTATCCTCACAAGCAACCTTTTATTTTAAAACATCAGTCTTTTTATGTTACCATTAGTAATTCAAAGAAAACACTGTATCTAAATTTGTAACACACTATAATTTAAAACAAAATTTATTTCAGAGAGGAAACAAAATTGTGCATAATTTTGAAACACCAGGATTTAAGTATTGGACGCATAACAAACTGAACGCACTGAACTCACTCTTCACTATGTGACATTTTCTAAAACTCGTGTTTTTTATTCAAATATAATTTCACTAGATGCTGGTCCTACATTGGTAATGTGGATTACTATCAGTCACCGCAGGAACTCTCACTTGCATGGGGCTGCTTATCTGTAGGGACTATTCAACACGAATTCCTCCATGCAGTTGGCTTTCACCATGAACAATCACGATACGATCGTGACGAATATGTCGAAATAAACTGGAGCAATATCCAATCTGGTAAGAAAATGAAATCACTGTATTCAAAGAACATTTATGAAACATTTTTTTATTGGAATGTGTGTTGTATTCAATGACAGTTGCATGTGTATAGGGTTGGTATAAACAGTTGACAAAGCGATAACTGGGAAATGTGAATCAGGCTGTTTTGAATTAAATTGTCATTACTTAATGTTGTATAATTGTGTAAAGTCAGGAAATTGTTATTATTATGAAATATATTTACAACACAGGGAGAGAGGGTAATTTTGATTTAGAAACTAATATGAATCTACAAGGAACGTTGTATGACTATGGATCGGTTATGCATTATGGATTATACGCCTTTGCGATAGACAGATCTATCCAAACTATTATCGTCAAAGGAGATTATAGTGGATCCGTTGGACAAAGAAATGGAGTCAGTACGCTTGATATTATTGAAGTGGATGGTATATACACATGTTTTGGTGAGTATTTTATTACTTTGTTTTAATAACATATATTGCATTTGTTTCTAGCCTTAAATACTGCTTGCAGTATTAATCTTATGCCATGTAATGCATATTTCAGAAATATAGTGAATACATTATATTTTAATTAGAAGACAACAATTTAAAAATTTGAGGCAGCCAAAACATACATTCACCTCATGTTCTGCAGCTAGTTATCTCATGCCCAAGCATGTACAACAGAACTGCATAAGTACATTCAGGGGTGACTAACAATGTACACATATGTGTTGCCAGGAATTATTTCATATACCATACCATTTCATAGAAAGTTGTAAGGGTCACGTTCAAGTAAATGAAATTACATATATTAGGCATAGAGATACGCAACATGTACATATGTAAAATTGGCATTTAAAAAAGTGATAACTATGCTGGCTGACAATGTATTATAATCAATATAGATCAAACAAGGTACGATAAATTCTAAGAGATATCTTTAAAGCTAGGATATATTGTGTATGTTTTTGCCCTGTTTTACGATGTCACGTTACCGGGTGTTGTGATTCATGTAGATGTAATCTGGTAATGACCCACGAAGCTTGTGAAATCTGTATTTATTTGGCCTCTGGTCGATGGTCATGAAAGAACGGGTAGAAAAGGTTTTGGGCTGCTGTCAGTTGTAGCATAAATAATTAGTTCGGAACTACCCAAAGGACGAATTTCCATGTGTATTATTGTGCCACCGATATTTATTTCCCTATCCTGGTCCTTGCCACTAGTATAGTAGTATAATAGTACTAGTATATCTGCAACAAGATTCATCCAAGTTTCAGTGAAAAGCCTATATGCTATGAATTGATCAATTTTACATATTGTAGACAATTATCTAACTCTCATAAAGTGTAAGTAACTAACAGTGACTATTACATAACTTTACTTTCTAATTAATTATTGTTTCATTTAATTAGTTAAATCTATCTAGGTCGATTATCTTTAGTATTTTAATTGTTCCAAACTGTTTTTAAGTATATCAAGCATGACAATATCCTACAATTTCAACTTTTTGGAAACCAATTCATAGATTGATTGATTTTCAGGATTAAATTAATGTGAGTTCAACGTAATCTGTGTAGTCTGACTTGCCTTTCTACGCAAATGTTTCTCAACATTGAATACATCTGCAAACAGATTCTAGTATGTAATTTTTGTGGTTATCATGTCAGTTTTCTTCAGTTGTTTCGTCCTGCACCTTGTCGATGTTAATAACCTTTAAAATGTTTACATTAAGATCGGATGACCAAATAAAGACCCAAATATCGTATCTGTTTGGTATTTGACATATTAGTAAATACACGCCTCATCAGAAGGTAAAATGTATTTGCAACATCGTCTCATCGCCATTACCTTCTTAAAAAGATCAATAAGTAACTTGCTTTCTTAGAATGATGATTTTCTTTAACAGTTTGGGAAGAGTGGAGTGAATGGTCAGACTGTCCCGTTTCGTGCGGTGTTGGTATCCAGTCTAGATCACGATCATGTTTAGAAGGACAGTGTGAAGGACCAGCCACAGACTCACGCGATTGTATGAAAATTCTATGTCCCCTTGTCATTGGTAAGTAAGACCGTACAGCAAATTGTAAGATTGAGCTATTCAGTGAAATACGTATTTATTTGCAAATTATATATGAAACGTTACCTTTCTTCATATTAGATTATTGGTATATAGGATGTTGGTCAGTTAGTGGTGACGATCCAACACTTACAACTTTGGAAGGAACGGGAAATCCTTATTTAGATAGCGACGTAGCGTCTAGGACTGAACATGCCAGGGTTAGTGAATGAAAGCTTAAACTGCAACTGTATATTATCTGTCGTACTTATGTAACGTGCTCATGCCATCATTATATCATGCAATCATTATGCTAATTTTACCTTGATGGTCATAAAAATGTACATACTACTCACTGCCATGTATTTGGTATACATTTGGTTCAGTGATTAAATTAGATATTAATACAAATATATTGCACGATTTACAATCTTCGTGGATCAAACTCAGTGTCTAATATATTTTTTTTCAGAAATGTGCAAGAGCTGCAGACTATGTAGGAGCCTCGCATTTTGCTCTAGGAAATGGTGGATATTGTTATACGTCATCGCAACCCACAACCACAAGCTCTTCAGATGACTGTTCGGACGGATTCGGCACTATCACTGCTGTCGACTTGTATTCAGTGTCAGGTTAGTGAAGTTAACTAAAATTATACAATTTCCAAAATCTCAAAATTAAAAGTAAGGCCAACACATCTAATCGTGATGGTTGCGTAGCAGTAGTCGTGTAGTGTATTTAAACACTATTTATAGATTTATAACATTTTAATATACGAAGCCATCATTCGTCGCCATCTTTACCTAATGCCCACCCCGCCTTACTGGTCAATGAGAGAACAAACGCATAGAATTATGAGTAAACGTTATGACACGTGATCGCGGAGAGCTATGATGACCTGACTATACTGACTTTGACAGTCTGAATGCACAGAGAACAACTACCGGCATACTAGAATGTATACATTAATTGATATATTACATGGAATTCTAAAGATATATCGGATCTGACGATACTTACTAATAAGAGAAAATACAACAATGCGTATTCAATGACTCAGAAAAAGACAAAGATCACGTAATACTGACGCGATAAAAAATGTAAACCCATATAATGGTTATATAATTTTGAGAAAGAAAGTGACAATGAAATGATAGCTATTTATCGGCACTTGAAAATTTTTCCTACATTTGAACATAATCACTCATTTCACTTAATAGGGAAATCAGTTCGCGCGCAGTGGAGGTTTACATTTGTAGACTGGTCGGCAATTGTATAAAAATATTATCAGAGTAATTTACAAATCACAAACAGTGGAAATATCATTTCGAAGATTTGCAAAAACACAATCATGTGTCACGAAATTGTTTTTCTCTCTCTGCAGGATTTTCATGTACTTCATCGTCACCTCAGTCTGACACGGATGGCCGTACTGTATACTGTGATCTACCTGTCGATGACCCACAATTAACACTTGTTGAAGACTGCGATCCTGAGTACACATGTGAGAATGTTGGGTTAATTCAATCTGAAGTTGTGTCACTTTGCTGTAGAAGTAAGTTTTTTGTTCATCTGTCACAATTTGAATCATTTTTTGTGGCATATACTCCTCATCGAGTTCGCCATACACTAAAATGCATTTAAATTTAATTTATAAATCTGTTTTATAATCCCGTTTATATATGTGTAGCGCCGTGTAATAAAGCATTGAAATATCTTCCGATTTGAAATTAGTATAATATAAATTATCCAAATAATCCGATTGGTTCATTAAAGCAGATCCAAATTTTTATATTATTAGATTTGATATAAAAATACGTATATGTTATTTGTCAATATGTTATTTGTTTTGTACTGTGCGTTTGTAGTTTCTTTGGAATTTATATATTTTTATGACGGATATATGTAAAGAAATACTTTTGACTCCCTTGACATTAACCTTTTCGCGCAACAAGAAGGTCATGTGTTTATTGTCAGCTATAAAGATTGAATTACTCCAAATAATAATGACAAAATAAATCTCTGAACCCATTATATTTATTGCCATGAATATAAATATATTGATTAGTTGTATGAGGGTGAACTGACCGTACATTGTATTTCTAGGAATTGTAGAAACGTTCATGAGATATATATTATACATGCCATATATTGCTGATCCTAGTTGCGTATCTATTTTACAGAATTGAGTTCTTGGTCTGAATGGACCCCTTGTTCGTTCACATGCGACGGGGGTACTCAGACAAGAACCCGATCATGCCTGGTACAATCATGTGATGGTGATATCACTGAGGAAACTCGTGATTGTATGACCATTGAGTGTCCGCTAGTCATAGGTATGTAATCTATTGAATGTCGGTTCATAATATAGCTATGTACGCATTACATCATATTGCAAACAGACTTATATTTATCATAATATTCAGGCACGGAAAACTTATGGACAATATATTCTTTCACATTCAGGATACGAGCACGTTGGATGTTGGTCAAATGCTGGGAACAATCTAGGAATCTCTTCATTAGAAAATACAGGGAACCCTCACTTAAGTGACGATTACCAAATTAGGCAGGATAAAGCTAGAGTAAGTGTAAATTAATTGAATATAATTATATGCGGCACTCAAAATGGAAAGTAAAAAAAAATTCTTGAGTCAGCATATTCCATTAGTCATGTTGCATGATAATGATCGGGAAGATGCAAACTTTTGGTCCGTGTATGGGTATGTGTTAGTATGTGTGTACGTACGTACGTGTGGGTGTAACTGTTCTATAGTTCTCTCAATAACCAATTATCAGACGTTAATGGAGCTTGGTACATCGACAATCGAGGGGCTTATTAGTAGACCTAATTAGTTGTAATCATTGCATACTAATCACCTAAATTGCAAAA